TCTAGGAAGGAACCCCCATTTAAAAATTTCCATAGGCTTGTATTTAAAAAAAAAAAAAAACCCCACAGTACTCCTTTCTAATAAAAAAGAAAAACTCTTAATAAGGATCCTGTGGACATATCAAAGATTTTAAATCCGTGTGTAGTCGCCTATCATTCTGTCATAACTACAACTCTAAAGCCAGAGGAGTCTTCCATTTCTAGTTTCAAAGCAGAAGGGCATGTACAAAAAAAAAAAAAAAAAATAGACTAATGCAGGCCATAGATTGGTCGAAAAGCGGCCGTTTTTTAAAAAACGAAAAATCGGTCATTCAATAGGCCGACGTTAACACCAATGGAAAAAAAAAAATCGTCCGATTTTCGTCCCGTCTACGGCTGGCATTTAATTACTTCTGTCCCTGCAGAGAGCTCCGCTATTATAGTTGACGTGAAAAAGTCTTGCGGTTGCAGCAATGTATCCATTTCGGATACAGATGTTGTTTTTATTTGGATACAAATAGATACATCGTTGCAACCGCAATACTTTTTCATGTCAAATATAATAGCAGACTGGAATTCTTCTTTTTCTTCCAGGTCACGGCTCATGCGCAGATTTTTTTTATCAGTAAAAAGATTGGCTGATTTGCCCATCATTTCTGGGAAAATCGGCCGATTGACAGAATCGGCTGATTTTCTTTTTTTCCAACTTCACCCATTAAAAAAAATGTGACAAAATCCCAAAAAACGGCCGACCAATTAACCCACTAATGATGCGAAAATCAGAAGATTTTTTTTTTTTCTCCCAGCCAGAAAAATTGGCAGATTTTCGACCCGTCTATGGCCTGCATTAGAATATTGACAGTGCTGTCTGCTTGAGAAAGTAGGATCCGTGTTCTTTATTAAATAAATGCTGAGTTCTTACATCAGAGCACTCAAGAAACTTCTTGAACTCCCTGTCCTGAAAGTAAGATCATAGGTGCACAGTGCCTGGTGAGGACCACGAGAGACGCCCCGGCACTGTGATAGAATGCAGGGGTTCCATATGCCAAAAAGCTGAATTACCACATAGATAAAAGTGTGCTCTTGGTGCTCCAGAAGGCTTGAATTAACATGCCCAAAGCCAGCTGCCTGCTCAGAAAATTTGATAATAGACAGGCTGACTAATTAAACAATTCTTTTGTTATCCATCACAATTTTAGCCAACTGCATCTATTGAATACATTTTTATCATTATGTGTTTCTGTATTACTGAATCTGAGCTATCGGTGATGTTGGGTGAGATCCAAAATATTATAATACCTGCGCTCTGAACCAAATGTCTACGATAAATCCCCGCTTCTGCATCTCAATATGTTAAGTGTTTATTGCACATAAGAGTGAAATAAAAATGAGCTAGTTTTTATTTAATCTTTGGAGAGATGTCAGGAGTTAACAGATCTTGATTCAGGATTTTTAATAAAATGAATATCTCAATCTCCACCAGCCCCAAAATTCATGAAGATGGCAAAATCTCTCTTCCGGGGGTCACACATGTAGACTGTATTGTGTGGCAGAACTGAGTGATTCCTCCATAGCATATTTTATTGGAAATCCATATTGCTCGAAAGATAATTACTTAGGCAGTTTTGACTTAAGTGCCCTCGGTCAGACTGGATTCACACTTGAGTGTAATGTCTTTAACTCCCCCCCGGCGGTATTCCCGAGTGTATCTCGGGGTAAAGTTTCAGCACCACAAGCGGTAAACCCGAGCTACACTCGGGAATACACTGCAGCGCTGCTCCGGGATCTCTTCTGCACTTACCTTGTCCTGCGCTCCCACGATGTCCCTCCTGCAGTGTCCCCTGTAATGTCCTCCGGCCGATGCCGGCATCTGTCTTCCGGGTTCCGTTCCCTGCGACGTCAGGATGTACGGGGGACGGAACTGGTGGGAAATTTAAAAATATGAAAGTGCAATTCACTAAAATCACATAGTATAACATTCCTGTATCAAACCATTTCACATACATTTTGTCCCGAGTGCTTTGTCCGGCGCCCTGCCTGCATTTTTACTGTTCTTTCTGCCTGGAAACTGAGAAAAGTCCACGGTGTCCAAAAAGCGTCCCTTTAGGTCAAAAGCGGTTTTAGACTGGCTAGAGAACAGCGACAGTAAATCAGAACCACTTGCAGAATTGAGTGATAATGATTCATGGGGGAAATTCATCATCAGACACTGAAAACGATTTTGCGACTTTGCTCAGTGATGTGCGAACTTGGCGCTCTATTTCACATTTCAGTGTTTTTGGTTTGATTATATTATTGAATTTAATGTATATTTTTTTATGATTATTATATTATAATTTATGATTTCGTGTTTCAAATTTTAACATACCCGGGATGTTTACTAGACTCTTGTTCGGACAGATTTCAGTGAGTTATTCCTAAAAATTACAGCCTACAATAAAAAAAATACATATTTCCATGCAAATTTTTTTCCGCCTGCTAGTCTCACATCGAAAGTGAAAAGGTTACTAAAGATACGAAAATTCTCGTATGAAAGCAAAAATACAACACAAATACATGACATCACTTTTGAAATTCTTTTAACGACTACTGTACTGCATAAACCAAAATCATACGATCTGGTATCATACGAGAGATTTTCACGCTTTTCCCTTTGGATATTGTCACATGAATTGTCGTGATCGGCTCTTGAAAGGTGTGTACTAACGATCAGATTATTGGATAATCGGTCCTCGTACGAAATTTTTTTTGTACAATTTTCAGATTGCGTGTATGGGGCATAACTGTACAGAATTATAAAATCCTCTGGTAGATAAATTGGCTTCATTTCCTGCTTGTTGAAATTCAGCTTTTTTTTTTGCTCTCTTCTTTGGCTACAGCCATGAAGGCTCGGTTCACATCTATGCGGTTTTCAGTGGGTTTCTTACTTTGCATTACAGTCATGATTTCCCATGGCTCTTGTTCACATCTGTGCGTTTTGAGCCAGTGCGGTTTTTGGAAGAGGTCAGTGACTTAGTTTTACCTCCCATGTTCCATTTTACAGAACATGACAGAGTTGCAGACTGAAAAGGAAGGTCTTTTTTAATAACATTCAATTACAAAAGGATTGTGTAGCAATTGTATATGCTGTATTTTTTTTTTTTTTTTGCTGTTTTTCGTCCCCACAAAAGTGAAGTTACCCTCATGCCCACAGGACGTTTTGAAAACTCTCCTAGAACTTTTTTTTTTCCCCCTTGGTAGAAGTGTTTTTGCAGAAAAAAAAAAAAAAAACCGCCTGATGCTTGTAAAAGTGTCTTAATGCTTTGGATGTCAATCACAGCCAGTCAGCCAATGAGGAGAGAGAGGAACACATGGAGCAGCAGGTGCCCCCATCGCAAGCCGTTTGGCGGTGGGGGCACTCGACAGGAGAGAGGGGCCAGGAGAGCCTGCAAGGAACCCCAGAAGAGGAGGATCCAGGTTACTCTGTGCAAAACCACTGCACACAGCAGGCAAGTGTAGACATGTTTATTTTACAAAAAAAATAACTAAACTTTAAGATCGCTTTAATGTCCCTAGTGAGATTTTAAACCAAGACCCCAGTGATTAACCAGCATATTTACTGTATAAATAATTTGGTAGAAGCAGTGGCAAGCAGTCAGGCAAATAGCTCTGGCCCTATGCTGCTTTTTTTTTTTAACCTCTTCACACTGGCCAAACGCAAATGTGCGGCCTCCCGGCCTAAACACCGAGTGGCCGCACATTTGCGTTCTATTAAAAAAGAACATGTGCTGAGCGCATGCGCCCTGTGCGCTCCCAGCACACATCTGGTACTCACAGAAAGGTCCCGATCTTTCCTGATCATGTGACGGAGTGTCACGGCGGTCACATGACCCTAAACCCCACCCCGCCTCCCGGCTTCTGAAACCCTTACAGGGCTGGGAGGTACCAGCGTGAAGGGGTTAAATCCTAACAAGGATCAGTAGGGGGGTGTTACATTCTTATGGTACACATAGCTATATAGTGAAAGCCATTGCTCAATACAGCTGGAGATCACAAGATCTAGTGTAACTAAACCCAGGACCCTGCATTCACTATATCCACTCTCTTCCCGGGACCCCCCATTCACTATATCCTCTCTCTCCCCAGACCCCGCATTCACTATATCTGGTCTCCCCAGACCCCCCATTCCCTATATCTGGTCTCCCACAGAACAATTATTTTAGTAAATATAAACTGCTAAATACCTTTTCTCATCACTAGTACATAGCAGTCTTGTGACTTCTATCAGTGTCCAGCAGAGCACTGGTTAAAGCTTTTAGGAGGAGTTTGTATTCTCCCCTGATTGTCCCATGAGGCTGCAGGACCCCTGACCCTCTGTATGGACAGTGTTGATTGGAGCTGTGCTGACCACATGCAACCTCCCAAGGCAAAAAAAAAAAAAACTTTCTAGCAATACACACAAACTGAGCAAGTGTAGCTTACTCCTGAGGCTCTGCACTATCAGCAGATGGATTGAGGACAGTATCAAACAACCTTTTTACACAATGCAGATGATTAACCCCTTAGGTTCCACAGTGAGTATAACAAGCATGCTTTACTGCATCTACAGACTGATTGTACTGTGGTGGGGTTAGTAACACTTTAAGAATACAATATCTGCCCTATATAGCATCTTCTAGAATGTAGTATATTTTATCATTTACATAGTAAATTCTCAACATTGGCAGAGATGGTCAAATGTGTTCAACCTGTGGCCTTCCAACTCTTGGCAAACAAGTCTCAGCATACTATAGTTGCAGGCTGCTTGGACTTGTCCTCTGGCTCCTGGGAAAACCACAGCTTGCCTATTTCTGGTTCTACCAGGTTGCACAGTTTCTTGACTTTGAACCAGAAATGTTCATAACTCATGGATAAATCAGCAAGACTGGATCTCTGTATGAACTTCTGGCCCACCCAGGATATTTATATTTCTAGCCACAGATCTCTGCTGTCCAATTACAGACAATAACATCCTGAAGCACTGTTGCAGAATCTGATAGGACGTTATAATACAGTTTTATTTTGTGCCGTTGAATCTTGATGATGAACCTCAGTGGATGATAAAGTGCCATTCAGTATAGGCCAGTCAAGAAAGATGGCCCTAGGCCAATCCGGAACATGTTCCAATTCCAGTATGATAATGTGATTCAGTTGCGACACGCTCAGAAGATTGCTGGGCACATACAGGGTGATCTGTGGCCCTCGAGCTGGCCAGTATCGCCCAATGTTGAAGCCGTTTATCCAAACCTGTCCCTAAAAGGATAATGAAACAAGCCAATGAGAATTCAACTTGCACACAAGAAGTGGATTTCTAGGATGGGTACAATAACACACACGGGAGATTTACTAAAACTAGAGCACTCAGAATCAGGCGCAGCTGTGCATGGCAGCCAATCAGCTTCTATCTTCAGCTTGTTCAATTACGATTTGACAATAAGCCCTCATGCACACGGGACGTTTTGCTAACCCCCGGTTCACATCAATGCCGCCGTGCGAGCCACGTTTTGCACGGGCACGAGAGACCATTCATTTGAATGGATGCCTGTGACACACAGGGAAGAAGTTCCTGCACTTCTTTGGAAACCGCAGCCCACAAGGGAACCTCAGTTCTCAGTACGGTTGCGTTTTCCAGTGTGGGTGGTGTGCCATTAGAACTAATGGCACCTACCCACAGGTCTGCATTTCTCTGTGCGGCTGTACGGATTTTCATGCGGATCCGCAGCGGCACCACCCGCACAGATGTGAACCTAGGGTCACGCTGGTAACGTTAGCTGTGTAAAGTCACGTTACAAAACGTGACGTTTTTCAGCTTATTTTTGCATTAGCATTTAATGGTGTTTTCCCACAGTTGCATAGTTAAGGTTTTTTTTTTTTTGACCAGAAAATGCTGGTTTGCTGCGTTTTACCACTTTTTAAAAAAAAAAAAAAAAAAACTATTGTAAGTCTATGGCGGTACCATGAAAGTCCACTTTTTTCATATGCATAGTCTCTGAGACGTGGGTACTTTTTTTTTTTTACCTTTGTCCATTTGGGTAGTTTTAGGAACGTGTCTCCCACTGCACCAATTTGAAACGTTCCGCTGTAGAAGGTCGGACTAGTTCTGTTCGGCAAATTCGCATTCATCCTGATGTGATTATCTGGGGCGTGTGGCCAGCCCGCTGCAATTGGGCCATCTATATCAAGTGAGTAGACCACCCAATGTCTGAGGATGTCTCCCCCCAGAGTCAGGTTTCCCACCAAACCCTAGAACAAAAAAAAAAAAAAAAAAAAAAAAAAATAAAAAAATCAATATGCCATAAAATACATACAGAGCTGTCCACGTGCAGTTTTTTTAAAAAAAAAAAAAAAAAAAAAGACAATAAATGTGCTTCTGTGCCAGTCGTGTGTTCTCAGGAGAAGGAAAGTGACATCATTCTCTTTACCTTGAAGTCATGCCCGTCTGCCCCAAAATTGATCCTTCCCATATTTTCCACCAGAACATCCAGCCATTCTCCTGCGATCCCCGTCACGTTAACATCCCTGAGGCTGTCTCTCTCCAGCACACCGCAGAATCGCTGTGTAAAGAAAAGGGAATCCAAGCTTACATGAGATATGGGCAACACAAAACCTATTTTCCATCCTGCTGGTGCAAATACACAGGGATGTGTTCTCTTACTGTTCATTGGTCTACACAGCAAACTGTACCAATGGGGGGGGGGGGGGGGGGGGGGGGGTTGAGTTGCTTATCCCCTAATGGTTCTAAATCTCTATTAGACACTAGATAATCTGGTTTACATTGGTGGCTAAAGACACATCTTACATCTAGTTTAAGTCACCATAAATGGGTAGATGTCACAATGTTAATGGGATGGCAAACATCTGCCCATCAGGACAATAGATTGTAATAATCCTTTTTACTTTCATTTCACATTAAAAGTTACAGTGGGATTGTTGTATACTTCCACAAGTTTGCTAGGACCTGAATCACATGCTGGTAGCACCTGTGGTCAGAGGGTTTTAATTCCAGGGTCCACCTGTAGGTGTCTCCCAGGAGCCAACAGATCTCAGTAATCGGTTTACACCTGATGCTGGCTGCTGAGAGGGTATTTAGGTACTCCCAAATTAATCCCCTTCGCTTTAGTATTTTGCTGCTGCCAGATCCTTGTTGCCATTTGTCCTTAACTTGCTCCCACCCTGTACCCACCCTGCTGCTTTTTTCCTGCTCTCCCTTGTTTCTGATCCCAGTTTTGTTCCACCTTTCCATCTGCTCCATGCACCTCCAGTTTTCCCATGCCTTTCTGTGTTCCCCATTTTGTATATAGTTAGTTGTTTTAGGCTGTTTGTTAGGTTTATTAGTCAAGTATCCTGTCACTGTAGTTTTGGTTCAATTATATTAATATACAGTATTTATAAAGCGCCAATGGTTCGCTCAGCGCTGTACAGAACATGTTCTGTCCCCCTTGCTATTATATTATATTTTTATGTTTGCTGGTGTTTTGGATTGTTTTTCTTTCATTGTAAATAAATATAACTTAGGCTGCTTTACACTGATCCATTTTTCTTCCACTTTTGCATAAAAAAAGGGGAAGAAAAACATGTGACGTTGTATTCCTATGGAAGTCTTTACACTGATCCGCTGTAGGTCCAGTGCGTTTTTAAAATCCTGCTTGCTGCATTTTTGATGCAGGTTTAATGCAGTAAAAAAAAAAAAAAAAAAAAAAAAAAAACACCAAATACACACCTCCCCATTGAAATCAATGGAGAATGTGTCAAAAATGCACCAAAAACGCACCCACATTGTGTTTTTGTTGTGGTTTTTGAGTTACATATCCTGTAAAAAGTGCACCGCATATGCATTTTTGCTACAGATATGTGGGAAGTCTTAAAACATACAAAGTCTGGTCCCAGTTACCTGAGTGTAGCATGCAGATCTGGCCATCCCTGTTGCTGAATCCTGACAAAGTTATTGTCTCTGGAGAAGAGCGACATGGCCAGCCAGCAATACTGACTTGTAGCAATGGACTTCTGGGTTCGGTCCTCACAAGACACCATTTACAACGGACTAGAAAGATGACTTTTTTCCCCATCACAGCATTGCGGTGCCCTCTTGTGCATTCGTCACTACTGTATAGTGCAGGGGTCTCCAAACTTTCCAAGCAAAATGGCCAGTTTACTGTCCTTCAAGCTTTTAGGGAGGCTGGGCAATTTCTACTTCCACTAGCCACAGTTCAAACGTCAATGAAAGTGAACAAATGTCCCACCATTGGTTTTAGTTGGAGGAACGGTGCCCCATCGTTGGTGTCAGTGGGGGAAATGGTGAAGGATCATTTATGACAGTGGAAGGAGTAGTGCAACCAAGGGCCAGGTTAAGGCAGGCAAAGGGCCACATGTGGCTCTGGGTTGCAGTTTGGTGTAGTGCATTGGAGTGCGATTCACAATATATGGCATCACAAAGCACTGAAGGCTTACCCTAAAATTTAAAGTATATCTAAAGCCAAAAAATTCTTTAATTTTTTAAAAAACATTTTTCCAAAATTCCCCTCTTACACAGTTGCCACTGTAACGGTTCTATAATTTTGGATTTCCCATCATTTCCCTAATAGAAAATGCTCGCCAGAAAAGGTAAGTGTGAATCTCCCAGTGAGAACACAGACAGCAATAAAAAACATAAAATTACTCACAGACCTAAAAATAAAAAAAATATATTTTTTTTTTATGTCCATAAGGAAGTGCCCCAAGGGCCAGGTTAAGGCAGGCAAAGGGCCACATCTGGCCCTGGGCTGCAGTTTGGAGATCACTGGTGTAGTGCATTGGAGTGTGATTCACAATATATGGCACCACAAAGCACTGAAGGCTTACCCTAAAATTTATCTAAAAGCAACATTTGTTTTTTTTTAATGTTTGAAAAAAAATATATATCTTTCCAAAATCCCCTCTTACACAGTTGTCACTGGAACTGTTCTATAATTTTGGATTTCCCATCATTCCCCTAATAGATAATGCTTGCCAGAAAAGGTAAGGGTGAATCTCCTAGTGAGGACACAGACCGCAATAAAAAAACCAAAACAAAAAAAAAAAAACACAACACATAAAAATTACTCAGACCTAAAAATAAAAAAAAATCATTTTTTTTTATGTCCATACCATCGTCGCCAAATTCGCTTAACTCTAAGAACAAAACCAAAATCTGACTGACCATCTCATGAACATCAATCACTTCTTCATGAGGATATAATCTTTGGACGTGGATCTACAACTGTATCCAGCCAATTTAAAACCAATATAAATTGGATGTGCAGGACCTGGTAGATCGCTGCAATCACTGTAGTAGCGCCAACTACTAAAGTGATTGTCAGCGGCCAATCTGTTGTGACAAGCTGGACCAATGCAAGCATTCAATAAATGTTATACATAGAGTCCAGCTTAAAAGTGTAAGCACCAGGACTGATATGAACTTAAAATGTTGTGTAGTATGAGCATGGATCTATAAATAAATGTATAGTAGATAATAAAACTTGTGACTTCTTATTACCCCGCCAACTGAAATGTATGCTCGGTCATGGACGCCATTAACTTGCGATGAAAGAGGAGTGAGGATCGGGATGTCTGAGGGTAGTCTGGTCCTATACAACACAAATCCAAAAACCTGAGACAGGACAGAGAACAAATTAGTTGAGTTTAGCAAAGATTATTTATTATACATACAGCAGAAATGCAGACCTTACCTGTTTCATATCCTCAAAGGTAATGGGGTATTGGGTTACAAAAGGGTCGCCCCTTGAGAAAACATCTAAAAGGTCCACAAGATCACCGATCTGTGGATATAAAAATAAAAAGACTATTGAGGATTCCAGTGTAAAAACAACCGGCAACAGCGATTTATAGAAAAGGGCTATGAACCAAGTCAACTACAGGTCTTTGGAGGGTGGACCACCACCAAGGTACAATTCTGAGTGGATGATGATCACTGTGTTTTCTACTTGGCATTATAGGGTCATATTAAGAGATTAAATTTGTAGGCATTGGCACATGTTGAAAAATGACAAAAACTTTGAGCTTGATTTTGACAGATAGGCCCGCCATCTTCTTCAAGAGAGTGTTCTTCCTTAGAGAAAGAGTAGCCCCTAACCTGGTGGAGAAACCTAAATAGCCCAGGCTGTTTGAGGAGCTGTGTGGCTAATTCCCTTGTAGAAAATGTGGGGTGTGTAAATGCACTAGGTCTAAAATTTCTAGAGCCAGTTCTTTTACTCTAGGTGCACTGGACATTCTTATATTATTTGTGAATTTATCACTTAATTCAAATGGAAGGTGGCTTATTTACTGCAGTGCCCCTGTGGCCTGCAGTACATTGGCAGGGCCAAAAGAGTACTGCAGACTAGGGGCAATGAGAATAATGGACATAGCCTTTCTAGGCATTATGCCCTAGTGCTTAACCCCTTGGCGCCGGCGCCTCCCAGTCCTTTAAGGGTTTCAGAAGCTGGGAGGCGGGGACTTAGGGTCATGTGACCACCATGACATGCCGTCACTTGATCGGGAAAGGTCCCGATCGAAAGAGGAGATCGGGACCTTTCCGGGAGTACCGGACATGTATGCTGGGAGTGCGCATGGCGCGCGCTCTCAGTACATATGTTTTTTTTTTAATAGAACACAAATTTGCGGCCGCTCGGCGTCTAGGCCCAGACACCAGGAGGCCGCACATTTGCGTGCGGCTGGCGCCAAGAAGTTAATGTTAAATCCAAACATGTAATATATTGCGGCTTACCAAAATTAAATGTTTTCACCTGTTGATCTGCCCAGTAACATACCTCCTGTATTACAGTGCCCCAACTCTGTATGAAGGATCGCAGTGGCACCTTTGGACAGCAGCAATGTCAGACCGGGGGGGGGGGGGGGGGGGGGGAGTGTTAGTTTATTGAAAACTGCTAGTGTGTCTAACAAAGTGAAGCCAAACCCCAGTTAATACTTTATAAGCAGTTACAGGAAACTTTTTTTTTCTCCTTTTGGGACAACTGTTTTATTTATGTAAAACCTATCATTGTAAGAACCCCTTGAGAGTGGTAAATGGTTTGTCTCACGTCTGTAAACTGATACATTTGTTCTTTTAAAAACAAACTTACTAGCTGGATCATCACTTGAAAATAGAAGAAAGCCTAAAAAATAAAACTAATGCAGCCATCACATCTAAGAATTCATAAGCTGCAATATAATAAATGTTTGCTTTTGGGCTTACTACCACTTTAATGTTTTGAGGATTGATAAACGGAGGGGGAGTAATGTTCGAAGGGAGATTTTATGATTGAGACCAAGTGGACATATTTGATGAAGACTTACAGTCCTTTCAGATTATCTATAAAATAGAACATTCATTTTTTCAATAATAATAGCCAAAAGGTGTGATCTCTTTGTAAAGGTGCAATCTCTAATTTTCTGTTCCTTTTAATCAATTTTAATAAATTTCTATTTTTATAAATATATATACTCGGGGACTCAGATGGTCTGATTGGAACACCCCATCTTTTTTTTTATCTTTTCCCCCCCAACTTGTTGTTTTTCCAGTCCTTGTCATTTGTTAGCTCTAATTTGTAAATCATTTTCATTATATTTTTTTTAAATGTTTGTTTTGCCGGACTAATTCTTATTTGGCTGCTAGAAGGAGCTGCGACAGGGATTAAGTCCCTTAACCCCTTTGCGTCAGTGCCTCCCAGCCCTTTAAGAGTTTCAGAAGCCGGGAGGTGGGCGGGGGTTTAGGGTCATGTGACCGCCATGATTTGCTGTCACATGATTGGAAAAGGTCCTGATCGCAAGGGGAGATCAGTACCTTTCCATGAGTCATGGACATATGTGCGGGGCGTGAGCTCTCAGCACGTATGTATTTTCTAATGGCATGCAAATATGCGGCCACTCGGCATCAAGGCCTAGACACCGAGAGGCCGCATATTTGTGTGCGCTCGTCATCTAGGAATTAATATATATTTAAGTAAATTCATTTTGTAGTGCTGTGGGTCCTTGCTTTCAGCTATTCCTGCTGCTGATTAATGAGTGCACATTTATTTTTATGGAACCAGCAAGGGGAGTGGCTTGCTTCCTAAAGGGCCTGGTATGGGTGTTTATAGCTGGCTTTGGTGTAGTCTGATTAAGTGTTCTTGTCTCATGATGACGTCAAAATGTCTTGGGTGGAGAAAATGATGAAACGCATCGGGAGGAGCACAACATACACAGGCTGAACAAGGCGAATGTGCTTCCATTTGTGCTTGTAACTTTTTATGCTTGTATAGATTTTAAAAATAAAATGTAGGATTTTTTTTTTAAACTGTATTACACTATATGGGGCCTTTTCTTTTAATATGTTCATGACCCCTGACCTCTTATACTTTAGGGGTCTTGTCATCTGGTAAGAGGCCTATGGTTTGTGTTGGTGGAGGACACGTCACTGGCTGCACTATTTATCAGGGTTTTGACATTACACTATGTTACTTCAGCGGATGCTGGATATTTTATACTTTTATATGAACTTTTTCACTTCATGTGAACTTTTATCCATATGCAGTTGTAATTTTTTATTACTAAATAAATAATAGTGCAGCACTGTCAGTCATAAAAGTTCAATAATGAAAGATTCAAATAATATATATCCAAAATCAGCATCAGAGATAAATCAAAAGGATGTAAAAGTTCATATAATTCATCAAGTATGCAGCATCCGAAAGACACTTCCTCTGCTGTAATACGTATCACTGGTGAAGAAATAACAGAAATGCGCACTCACCGACCGCGCATAAAAATGCGTAAAAAACTTTTTTACTTATTGGAGGTCCTGTGAGGTGTGAGCAGGAATAAACCAAGACTGCTACTCACTTTGGAGGACTGTGATAGTTGTCTGTTAAAGAGGTGCTGATGAGCGCAGTAAGCTAAGGAAACCAATCAGATTTACCCGTCTTGGAACCAGATCTACAGCAGTGTCTGCACCCAGAGGATTTATCTATCCATCCATCCATGCAGGCTGTTAATCCGGCATTAAGGGAGACCTCTGAGTCCTGCTGCATTCCTTCACCCAAGTTGGATGATCTGTTTCCTAGAGGGGGTCCTGTTATCCATCCGGTGCCATCCAATACTACTGATATATTATACACATGCGCATTTTTATGCGCGGTCGGCGAGTGCGCATTTCTGTTATTTCTTCACCAGTGATACGTATTACAGCAGACGAAGTGTCTTTCGGGTGCTGCATACTTGATGAATTATATGAACTTTTACATCCTTTTGATTTATCTCTGATGCTGATTTTGGATATGTATTATTTGAATCTTTCATTATTGAACTTTTATGACTGACAGCGCTGCACTATTATTTATTTAGTACTTTGACATAAGGATTACGTGATTTCTTTAGTGTTCCAGCCGCTACTTATATGAGCGCTCGCTACTATTTGTATTATCTGTAATTTTTTATTGTTTTCACCTGTCACTTTTGTGCACTGTTTTTTTGCGTAAATGCAATATAGGTTTGCTATTTATATTTTGATATTGTATTATTTTTTTTTTTTTTTTTTAAGGGCAAGTGCAGCACTGTGCCATTTGTTTATCTAAATCAGGTACTTACCTTATTCAGAGAGACTAAACCATAGTAATATTTAGGAGTGGGGGGAGGAAAGGGTCCTTCTGGAACGGACTGGAACTGTAAAAGATTAAAAGGATTAATGTTAATCAACAGTAATTATGTGTTTGTAAGACTCCTCTATGCTACCGCCGCTAGAGATCAATCCAAAGAAAAAACAAAATCAAAATCAAAAAAAAAAAAAAAAAAAAAAAAAAAAAAAGTGTTGTTGCCACTGAATACTTATTACTATAATACTGTTGTGTTCCCACACCCAATATTGTATAGATATATAACAAAGATGCAGCATAACCTCACAACACTTTCCTCATACAGTACACATCTACAGTATATATATTGGGGTGAAAATCTTTCATTTTGTTGATTTTTGTGTTTCTCACATTTACCAATCACTATCACAATGTCCAAAAATAAAATGTAACATTTTTAGGTTAGGATAGGTTGGGTCAGGGGAAGGGAGCAAAACGTATAATTGCACATTGTTTTAAAACCATACTAATTCAGAAGATCCAGCAGGCATTTTCAAAAGAAAGTCAGCAGCGGCAGCCCACTTATTTCTCTTATGACCGGTACCCTTTAACCATTTCAATACCGGGCAATTTTACATCTTCCTGCCCAGGCCTGTTTTCAGCGCTCTCACACATTGAATGACAATTGCACGGTCATACAACATTGTACCCAAACTAAAATTTTATCATCATTTTCTTCACACAACTAGAGCTTTCTTTTGGTTGTATTTAATCACCGCTGGGGTTTTTATTTTTTGCTAAATTAACAAAAAAAGACCAAAAATTTTGCAAATAAAGAATTTTTCTTCATAAATTCAGGCCGAGATGTATTCTGCTACATGTCTTTGGTGAAAATAACCCAAATTAGGATGTATTGTTTAGTTTGTAGGAAAGTTATAGAGTTCACAAACTATGGGATAGATCTGAATATTGATCAATCCTGAAGTACTGACAGCCAATCTAATTTCTTGAGGTCCAAGAATGTCAGAACAGGACAGATATCCCCCAAATGTCAGGACAGGACAGATATCCCCCAAATGTCAGGACAGGACAGATATCCCCCAAATGTCAGGACAGGACAGATATCCCCCAAATGACCCCTTTTTGCAAAGTAGACAGACTTCATAAGAGGAATGGAGAGTTTTTTGAAGTTGTATTTTTTTTTGTCATTTTTCGGAAAATTAAAAAATTAAAAAAATTTTTTAACTATTTTTTTTTTTTTTTACATATTGGCACCAGTGCAGTACAGCGTCATCATATAACTGGCATGGCGGTGATCAGGGACACTGACTGGTGACAGTATGAAAAAATAAATTATATATATATATATATATATATATATATATATATGGGGTATATATATATATATATATATATATATATATATTATATATATATATATTTATTTTTTTTTATTACATTTTTTTTCTTTAAGATTTTTTTTTCATATTTCACTATGACCAAAGTAGTACAATGTTACCATAGTAACATTGTACTACTTTGTGGAAGTGATCAGTATTTTTTTTTTATTTTTTATTTTTTTTACACAATTTGCTTATAGCAAAGAATTACTTTGCTATAAGCAAGCATTTACCTGAATGACAATCGATTCATTCAGGGTTTTTTGGGGGGGGTTTTTGTGCTTAGCTGTGATTTGCCCACAGCTAATCACATGACATGTGCATGTGAGCTGTGACCATTCACAGCTAGACACTAGTCTACAATGGATGGCATGAATGAAGCCATCCATTGTATACAACTGTGATTGGTCACAGCAGGGCACATGGTACCGGCAACGGTGGCCGATACTCGGATCTGTCATCGGCCATGTCCAAGGTACACGGCCGGTGACCGATCGCGCCGCTGTGCGGCTCTGCAGGAGCGTAATCTGCACATGTGCGGGATGACGCCATATGGCGTCCACCCGGAATGCTCATGACATTTGCCGGCCATTCGACCATAGGGCGGGTGGCAAATGGTTAAAGGAAATATGCCAAGGGATAATCCATCACTTGTTTTCACCACTTCTGCTGAGCAGAAGCTTACAGGTTTGCTCACCTTTACCCCATGCATTCCAGCATCCCCAGTACATTACTGACCACTCTTCTGCTGTTCCTATAGTTGCTCCTGTCCCCTTTCATACATGTTAGCTATGCTCAAGTTGCTCATAAAAACACCTTAGTTGACGACTCTCCTGCGTTCTGCCACAACGACATGAGAATTTAATTTTCATCGTGGGCCACATCAGCATTATGGCTGCCCTCAAAGAGCCATTTTTTTTTGTAAGACTAGGTGTCCAGAGCATCCCACCCCCCCATACATTAGATGTCAAGAGCCCACCCACCATCAGAAGTCAAGCGCCCTCCACTCTCCCTTACATCACAGTGCACCCTCCCTTACCTTATGTTGTTGCTGGATAGAAACTGGGAGCAGAGCTGGGAAGCAAAAAAAAGTGTGCAGGGTCTGGAGGAGGACCAGAGGAGGGCTGGAGTCAGCTGCCAGAGTCTGATGAATGCTGAGACCAGGGAGGCAGAGATGAGGGGGTACTGTGGCTGCACGGAGAAGTGCAAGATCTGGTGAAGGAGTTATATCCTCTTCTCTGCTGCTGTCTGCTGAGGCAAGGTGGTGGCAAAAATGAGGGGGTTGCGGCAGCTGTGGAAGAGGTGTGAGGGCCAAATGAAATGGCCTGCTGGGCTGCATTTAGCCCACATGCCTTGTGTTTTATACATGTGCCCTAGACTGATCAGTGGATCAGTGCGCTGTAGTGGGAAGGCACCAGTTAATTTATTTGGCCCCTACGGGGGGGGGGGGGGGGGGTAGCACTACACATGTGCTGTGTATTCTCTCAGCTACTACAGAGGTAGTGCACTATTTGAGTGAGCCACAGCCAGGGGCGGATTTGCCATTCAAGCACTTGGGCACTGGGGTCAGTAGGGGGCCCCATGAAATTCCCCTGGTACCTTTTATAGGCTTTTTTGGGTGTGCTTTTGAGTATGAACAAGGACACAGGGGCCCCATGATTCCCTATTGCCCAGGGCCCCATGAATTGTCAGTCCGGCCTTGGCCACAGAGCTGTCCCTGGGGGGGCAAACTTCTAATATTCAGGAGTGGGGTCAGCTACTAAAGAGTTTTTTTGGGCAAGCTGTGAATGGCCAACAGATACAGAGGGGGCCAGAAGCAACTATTTGAACAACAAAGGAGTGGTATGTAATGTGGTGAGGTTGCTGGATTACATGGGGGATTTTTTTTGGAAAATGGCTATTAAAAAGGTGAACTAACCCATCAACAAGAAGAGACAATGAGATGATTGTGTATGCCCGTCCAACCCAGGGGCGGGCTGACAACTCATGGGGCCCATGGGCAATAGGGGTTCATGGAGCCCCTGTGTCCTTGCCCAAACTCAAAAAAGCCTATGAAAAAGGTACCAGGGGCATCTCATGGGGCCCCCTACTGACACCGGGCCCTCGGGCAGTGCCCGAGTTTCCAAATGGTCAGTCCGCCCCTCGCCCAGCCATTCACTAATGTCTATGGCCAGCTTGGCAAGCAACCAGTAGACATCAAACACTGGTGTGGCACAACAAAGTGTAAATCCGCTTTTACAAAAAGTTACTGTACTTTGAAAGCAAAGTGCAAGTTGAAAATGTTTAATAACCCATAACAGCCAATGAGAGCTCAGCCTTGAGACTGTACTGATTAATGGCTGGCGGCGGACAGGACACGTTGAATAGGTTAGATGTATTGGTGCAGGAAGAGAGTCACCTTGCTAATCACCGAGCGGATTGCCAATAATTTATCGGTGGGGTCTCCCGCTTCTGTCAGAGGTGCGTCATAATCGTAGCTCGTTGTAATCGGCTTGTATGTATTCTTGAAGTCAGCGCCTAGGAATAAAACAAGGTTACAATCTGTACAAATGTAAAGTGGTAGAAAAGTCCTATTTTATTTATTCATTTATACCCACCTAGAATAAGGCTTACCTGTAGGTACAGAAAATACCTCCGAAACGTGTATTGTTTAGAAGATATTTACTTGTATAGCAGCCAGTGACGTCATCGATGCATGTGCACTGCGCTCTCAGTGAACGGCATGCCATCCATTGAGGGAGTTGTGCTGCGGCCATGCACATCGTGGGAGTGATGTCTTTGCAGCTCGGCCACTCAAGCCCAGAAAGAAGACCTGGTAGAGGCGACAACCCCGTCAGCGGTGACAGCGTGCCACTGGGGGGGGCTTAGTTTTAAAGGGAGTTCTTTCAGAATGTGCTAGTAAGCAATGTATTCTAGTACATTATGCTCTTAACTTGCAGGGTGAAGATTTTTTTTTTTTTTTTTTTTTTTTTTTTTTTTTTTAAGGGGGGGGGGGGGGTGTTTGTGGTTTACTACTACTACTAAGGCCTCTTAGAAAACCCAGGAAATTAGGAAATGAACTCACAAACGGCAGAGATTCTCAGCCATAACTATGGATAGGAAATCAGAAACATTTGGCTGCACGCTCCACTAAGCAAGATATGGCAATACCTTCATCTCTGCAGATACAAGCGTACCTCGGTTTACGAACGCCTCGGTTAACGTGATTTTCGGTTTATGAATAAAAAGTCCATTGAAAATAATGCCTCGATTTACGAATTTTTTTTCGCAATACGAACAGATTAATTGGTTTTCAATGCATTTACAATTTTTTTTTTTTTTTAATCATGTCCCTGTGCAGTATTTATGCCTTTAAAAATGTACTTTTTATTTCAGGTACTTCTATAGCGCCGTCAATTTACACAGCGCTTTACATATATTTTGTACATTCACATCAGTCCCTAACCCTCAAGGGGCGTACAACTAAGGTCCCTCGGTTTACAAATGCCTCGGTTAACGTGATTTTCGGTTTATGAATGAACGTGCATTTAAAATAATGCCTCGATTTACGAATTTTTTTTCAAATATGAACGGATTAATTTGTTTTCAATGCATTTACAATTTTTTTTTTTAATCATGTCCCTGTGCAATATTTATGCCTTTAAAAAATTTATTTTTATTTCAGGTACTTCTATAGCGCCGTCAATTTACACAGTGCTTTAAAATATAAATATTGTACATTCATACAGGGATCAAGGGGCGATTAGAAACCCTCAAAATTTGTAAATGCATTAAAACCCTAAATCACATTCATAAATACACATACTAGGGACAATTTAGAGAGGAGCCAATTAACCTACTAGCATGTCTTTGGAGTTTATAAAGATTTTTGAACAGCTAAAACTTTTGACTTTTTTTCTGACCTCCGGAATGGATTCATTGGTTTTTAATGCATTAATGAATTTTTTCAGCAAAACAAACGGATTAATTGGTTGTCAGTGCATTTACAAATTAATTTTTAATCATGTCCCTGTACAGTATTTATGCCTTTAAATTGCACTTTAAAAGAGTTTTGAAAAGATAAAAAAGACTGTACTTTTTTCTGACCTCCAGAACGGATTATTTGGTTTTCAATGCATTCCTATGGGAAACCGCATTTCGGTTTACAAATTTTTTGTAATACGAAAAGTCCAGCAGAGCGCATTAAATTCGTAAACCGAGGTACGCCTATAATGCTATTGCCATATCTTGGTTATGAATAAGCGCTGCGGAGCGTGAAACGCACCAACTTTTTTTCCATGCGATCATATCTCCTGTGTGCCCATATGTTGTAATATTGATCTTTATACTATGCTTCAATAAATCCACACATTTTAGCGGAGTGTGCAGCCAAACTTATCGGATTTCCTGTTTGCGGAGGCGATCCAGGCGTGCACCTCTATGGGTGTTGGATGTGATCCTGTTGCACCAGCTGGAGCGGTGTTTCCTCCATTTGGATCATAACTATGGGTACTTCTAGCAGCTTCATGGGCCTTCTGCTTAATAAAAGCATTATAAATCTTCCTACCTGCACCTTTTTTTTTCACCTGTATTGGTCATGTAGGGTTCATGGTGTCATTTGTTGCCCTAAACACACAGCCTATAGTAAAGTAAATCTTCACATTCAGGGGTCAGAAGCTTCTGTTTGTGTTCAAACATGAGGAATGCCCCATGGCACTGCACAAGTTAATGCATGACCTCTGTCTGTAGTCTAAGAACTGACACTTCCTGTGAAAAAAACATCTCCTCCCACAATCCCTGTGTCTCTCATTCTAGCGTTCTGCAGGTGAGAGCTAAACAGTAATTAGATCTGCCACACACACACAAACAAGCAGAGCAAAGTAAAGGAAGAGATGCGTTGCATCACAAATGTGGGAGTAGTAATGTGATGAAACACAGGGAAATGGTGATGCCATGGATGATGGGTGACATGGAACAAGGAATTGCCTGGCCCTTTATTGTGAATAGGGACAAGCTAGGTGAATGAATACATAGACATAGGGTAATCAATCATCCATGATACTACAAACTGCAGCCACAACAAGCAAGCCCATCATTACAAGGTAAGGAAAACCACACCGGAAATAATAAAACATTTGAAAGTGTACAATGTCTTTATTTTTGTAAAATCTAGATATTAGTGTAGTTTTAAGTCGCCCATTCAGACAAGTTTTTGTGAATTCTGGATAGAGTAGGTGTCACATTTGGGGGGGTGTCAGGCTTGGAGACCAGAACCTATAGCAGTTGAGAGATTCCTACTGACCAGGAGGATAAATACACAAGCAGATCATGCTGGCACATAAAGCAGGCTCACCTGAGGCCCAGGCTCTAAGCACTAGCTGGTTTCCACCAGAGCTCCTGATGGTGGAGATGGGTTTTGCTGAGTGCTAGTGCCAGGTCTCGGTCCTCAAGATTGCCCCACCAGGAGGTGAGCAAGCCAGGGTCAGGTTGCAGATGTAGCAGGGAAGGATCCAACAGAAGCATAGTCAGTAACAAGCCAAAGGCCAGTAACAAGTGGTTGCAGGTTGGGGTCAGGAGAAAGTCAAGGAACAAGCCAACGTCAGTAGTGAAGATAAAGACTGCAGTAGGAGCAAATGAAGCAAGAGATTGGCTGGAGGAAGTGGAAACAGGAAGTGGAAAGACATGGCTTAACCACTCACCCTCCAGAGGATTTCCCCTTCCTGACCCCTTACTTTGACAACTGCGCAGTCATGGAACGCTGCACCCAAATGAAATGTACCGATATCTTTTGGCTCCATCCAGAGCAATGGGTGACACCCCCTAGACGACTTTCACCTGACCATAAGACGCACCTAGGTTTTAGAGGCAGGAAAAACAGGAAAAAAAAAATTCTGAACTAATGGACTGCAGATATAGTACAGGTGTGCGTGATGATCCCAGAGACTGCGGACACAGTACAGGAGATGATGTAGTGCGGACACAGTACAGGAGATGACCAGACTGCGTAACAGTACAGGAGATGACCAGAGACTGCGGACACAGAACAGGAGATGCAGAGACTGGCGGACACGGTACAGGAGGAAGAGTGGTGACACGGTACAGGAGATGACCAGAGATGCGGACACGGAACAGGAGATGACCAGAGACTGCGGACACGGTACAGGAGATGACCAGAGACTGTTGACACGGTACAGGTGATGACCAGTGGACTGCGGACACGGTCAGGAGGGACCAGAGACTGCGGATTTTGGTACAGGAGTTGACCAGAGACTGGTGGACACATGAGTACAGGAGATGACGAGCCATAGACTGCGGACACGGTACAGGAGATGACCAGAGACTGCGGACACGGTACAGGAGATGACCAGAGACTGCGGACACAGTACAGGGATGACCAGAGACTGCGGACACAGTCCAGGGATATGACCAGAGACTGCGGCCAGCACAGGGATGACCATCAGACTGTGGACACCACAGGGAATGACCAGAGACTGTGGATAGTACAGGGGATTACTTCTTTTAAAATTGGGGAGGGGGGGGGGGGCGGGTACCTGAATTTGACAGGTACCTTTTCCCACTTCGATAGAGTAGGTTCTTTCATCTTACCTGTTCCTCTATGGAGCCGCACGCTGTCTTCCCGGCTTCTGTAATGGATTCTCGGCATGACAGCCGGGTGCCCAATGCACATGAGCGAGATTCAGCACTTGCGCTTTGTGATTGGTCCGGCGGCTTCTGGGATCTGTCATGTGTCCCAGGTGCGCCTTACCATTCACAAAAAGCACCGCTTCTTGCGCTAGTGCGCACTTGGCACCCGGCTGTCATGCCCACACTACAGAAGCCTGGAAGACCGCGCCGCTGGATAGAGGAACGGGTAAGATGAAAGAACAACTCCGCGGAAGTGGCAGAGTGGGTACCTGTCAAATTCAGGTACCCGCTCCCCCTCCCTCCCCAAAGGTCAGCAGTCATCTCTATAAGGTCCCGCTGTAGAGCTGAGCAAGCCGGCTGGGTATTCTGACACGGCGGCAGTGGAAATACCGGACCCCCCACTCCATAAGAGCACTGACCCCTTCCCCTTTTTTTGGGGGAAAAAAGTGCATCATATGGACGCTGCGAAAAATATGAAATTTATGTCCTTTTTTTCCCTTCCACAAATAGAGCTTTCTTTTGGTGGTATTTGATCATCGAAAAAGACCTGACAATTTTGAGAAACAAAAATCAAAATTTCATCATAAATTGTCATAATCATCATAATCATGTATTCTGCTACATGTCTTTGCTAAAAAAAAAAAAAATCCCAATACATGTAAATGAATTGGTTTACATGAAAGTCATAACGTTTACAAATGGCGATAGAAAACAAAAGTTTTAAATTTTTTTTTTTTTTTTTTTACTAGTAATGGCGGCGATCAGTGACTGCAGCAGACATTCTGACACTGGGGGGAACTGACTTGGTGTCACCAACATCCCCAGTGACACCAATACAGTGATCAGTGCTAATAAAAAGCATTGACACTGTACTAATGGAACTGGGCAGGAAGGAGTTAACATCTGGGACGATCAAAGGGTTAACTGTGTGCTTTACTATGAGGCTGTGTCTGTGCTTTCCACTGTAATCACACTGCCATACAAAGCCGTGTGAGGGGTCGACAAGGGAGAGAACTGTATTGTTTACTTACAGTTCTCTCCCCCGGCGGTAATACTTGGTGATCACCAGGTGCCGGCGAGTAATCACCGGCTGGGACCTGGTGATTGACAACCTAGGTTGCGCGTCCCCTTACCCAGAAATGCAAAACACACACACACAGTAGCAGTATTTCTGCTATAGGGTGGCAGGAAAGTGGTTAAATAGAAAATTCATGGGAGGAGCAAAGAGTTAAAGGTTCCACAAGAAACAAGGTACTGTAACAATCATGCACACAGAGATGGACGCGGTCCTCCATCTTGTTAAGGGTTTTCCATCTTCTATCATGTCCTACTCCCAAATCAGCTTTCCTCATTCCCCCTCCCTCTCTGTTGAGGGGCATGTGGTCTGTGTGATGCAGATCACAGGCAGCAAACTCATTGGGAGGGCGTCTGATTATAAATCACACACACTATCTGGTGGCCTCTCTGCCTAGGAAACTCTTGCTAGCAAAGGGCTCGTCAAGCCATAAACCGAGCCCTCACCGAGCTCAAAGACATTCCAGGAAGACGTAAAAACAGACTTACATTGAAAAACTCACTTTTCCTTATAATTTTATATCTTCAAATAGGACATAATTACATAGACGTGGAGCCCATATTCGGACGGCTCACTTTGAGACCAGTCTCCTGGTATATTACACCCCCTATCTGACATATGCAGGAGAGCAGAAAATTATATCTCCTGAACCATTCAAACAGATATGTCATATTTCATATCTAACCATTCAGCAGATGCGTCTGCATGTTAATCTACTATTGGCAAGGCTGCTAAATGCACCGAGAATAAGTTATGAACCATAATATGAGCTATGAGAGTTTTTAGTCATAGCTTGGTCTCCACCTACAACTCCCTCCCCAAATGAGGCAATTGGTTTACTGCTCCAGGGAGACACCCTGTGGAGTTGCTAGAAAAAGCTAAGCTAAGCTGAGTTGTGGGAAGTTGAAGAATCTCCATTTTTTAACATCGGAACTAACAGTGGGAAATAAAAGCATCCTTTTGGCTCTGAAACTTGGAAGCTGCTTAAACCAAGGCTGACTGGCAAGTACTTTATCTAAATTCCTTTCCGTTATATCTGTATCTATATATTACATTTTTTTCTGTAAATATTTTTATTGCACCCTTTTGACCTTTTAGTAATAAATCTTACTTTCTGAAAGTGTTAAACTGTTTCTACAGCTCTTTAATGCAAACTAAAGCACCCCTGTCTCTGAAGAATGCTACTGTGTGTTTTAAACGTCTGCATACATCTGTCTGCGGTGACATTGTGTATACAAACGATTATTCAAACATCATAGTGTTATTGCTGATATTGCCGAGTTTCCTCTTTCTCTGTACAAAAAGGTGGTGGCAGTGTGAAGGGTTAATTGCGTAATTAACCTGACCCAGTAACAATCGCTCTCAAGCTGCAGATACACAGATTGTGGTCCATTAGCTAGAAATCTGTGGGCGTGGCATTGTTACGCACGCGACAGCACGGTTTTAGATTGGCTAGTCCTTCGGTCACGAGTTTGGTGAGAAGGGCTGGGGTCTGACGCCGTGATTGTCTCAGGTACAAGGCACAAATCCTATCCTAAGGCTGTCCAGCATCTCAGGTGGCTCAGCAAGGAGAGTGAGCCCGGGTTCACACTGATGCGGTGCGGAATTTGAAGCATTTTCTGTGCAAGTCCACACCAATCACAATTGCACCCCGTTCATGCGAACCGCTGCAGTTGTGTATGTTAAGGTAACAACACCCTGAAAGCGGGCCGCAAAAACGCGTTGCCATGTTCAGAATCGGATCTCATGAGTGTGAATACCCATACATCTGATTCTAGTGCGGACTAAACCCAGCTGCAAGAGTCCTGCATCTTTCTGGTGCAGATGCGGTGCGAGTAGAGCCATACAAAATGTATGGCTCCAATGCACCACACACAGTTTGCATGTGAATTGCACAGGAATGCGGTGCGGCTCCTGTGCAAATCACAGAGCGCATACCACATGTGTGAACCCAGCCTTACTGCCAGACACAACAGAGGTTGTGGGTTCCACTCCTGGTCATGCAGCAGGGAAGGGTTAGATCCATGGCATTTTTTTTTTCTTTGCAGTTTTGGACCTCTTTAGGGAGATCTTTCCTTTACCTTCTATCCCCCCGATGCCATCAGAGCTTACATTTTAAACAAAACCATCTCTTACCATTCCAGTAGCCAAAAAGTTGGTGCCTCCTTCAAACATGTACCTGCAAAGGAAGTACATCAAGCAGGTTATGCCAGTGTGCACATTGCCTACCCCAACCAGTCATCCCAACAGGTGACCATGACTCATAGGTCACACCAGGGATGGTCTGACAACTCATGGGGCCCCCGGGCAATAGGGGATCATGGGGCCCCCTGTGTCCTTGCCCAAACTCAAAAAAGCCTATGAAAAAGGTACCAGGGGCATCTCATGGGCCCCCCTACTGACCCCGGGCCCTCGGGCAGTGCCCGAGTTTCCAAATGGTCAGTCCGCCCCTGGGTCACACCAATCTACAGCTCACATATTGACACTGGCTCCAGCTTCCAGAATGTTCTGTAGACCACGGCTCACTTGTTCAGCTGAGCTGCTAGCGTGTTTCTCCCCCCAATAATCTAACCAGCCGGTGTAATACTCGGAATTGACCTAAAAAAAAAAAAAAACAAAGAAGAGTGAGTATGTCGGAGGTCCTGTCACACTAAATGTATTTTCCAACAACTGGTTTTCCCAAAGGTTTCCCCCTACTGCAAGAATGGTCTCATGCATTGGGCAGCACAGTGGCTTAATGGTTAGCACTTCCCCTGGCAGTACTAGGGTCATGGGTTCAAATCCCAACCACAGCACAACCTGCCTGGAGTTTGCATGTTCTCCCTGTGCCTGCGTGGGTGTTTTCTCCGGGTACTCCGGTTTCCTCCCATACTCCAAAGACATGCTAGTAGGTGAATTGGCTCCTGTCTAAATTGTCCCTAGTATGTGTATGTATGAATGGGAGTTAGAACCCTTAGATTGTACGCCCCTTGAGGGTTAGGGACTGATGTGAATGTACAAAAAAAAAAATTTATAATATATATATATATATATATAAAGCATTGCGTAAACTGACAGTGCTGTATAAACCTGTACCTGTAATAAATCAATAAAAGATGCACTGCACACTCTCCACTTTCTGCTCATCACCGACAAGGGTAATATTAGAAGATAGCAGCCCTTTGGTACTTTTTCTATTTTGAAATTCTGTTTCATCTCCTGTTTGGCCCCTGCTTAACGATGACTGTAGAATATAAAGCCACGTGGCCCTGCACACATGTTCATTCAGGGGACAGTGCGGTGCATTGAAGACATGCAAGCGCTATGTATAACATTCAGTCCGCTGCAAAGCTGCAGATGCCTAGTCTTCACATTGGTGACTAGGCCCCTGGGGAAGGAGCGGAGGAAAGCAGGAAAAACACAGCTCCAACCTGGATGATCTGCCCCATGAATCCCGGATGAATGAAATGTGTGCCGATACAAGGAGGCAGAAAACACATTAAGAAAATGTGTCCCATAGGAAATCATGTTAAATGGACTGTACTGCGTTTCTGCAAAACGCTGCGGAAAACGCTTACATGTGACCCTAGGGTAACAGAGTTCTCCATAGGGATTGTTCGCTTCATCTAGTGGCCAAACATTTTCTCATTGAGGTGTTTCACAAAAGATGACCACATTTTGGCCACTAGATGGAGCGGACCACAGGAATCACTCGGTTAGAGAAATTACAGCCAAAATCTGTGCAGCATACACACTTGTGTTCAGGGGCGGACTGACAGCTCATAGGGCCCCCGGGCAATAGGGGATCATGGGGCCCCTGTGTCCTTGCCCAAACTCAAAAAAGCCTATGAAAAAGGTACCAGGGGCATCTCATGGGGCCCCCTACTGACCCCGGGCCCTCGGGCAGTGCCTGAGTTCCAAATGGTCAGTCCTCCCCTGCTTGTGTTTGACAATTTATTACAGGAGCCCTTAGTCATGATGCCAGACATAGGACTCGTTCAGGGGCGGACTGACCATTTGGAAACTCGGGCACTGCCCGAGGGCCCAGGGTCAGTAGGGGGCCCCATGAGATGCCCCTGGTACCTTTCTCATAGGCTTTTTTGAGTCTGGGCAAGGACACAGGGGCCCCATGATCCCCTATTGCCCAGGGGCCCCATGAGTTGTCAGTCCGTCCCTGGGCTCATTCACACTTGACTTTATTTCTAACTCTTGCCAAATGCCCCTATAGCGTTTGACAGGCGTTAGTGAAGTGTTTTTTAACGCTCCCCAAACGCGGTTTTGAGGCAGTTGATAGGCATTTGCCAAGCGTTAAAACCGCACCACAAATGCCTATAATGAAGTTAAATGGTCTTAACGCTCTGCAACCGCACCGCAAACACCTGCCAGGCGTTTGCGGAGTGGCAGCATAGACTTTAATGGGAGGCTTCAACTCCTCCTGACTCAACACAAGGCGTCCGTTTTGCTGTGACGCTAACACTTCAGTGTGAACAGCACTGTGTGCAGCCATGTGCAAAATTTTTCATAGGCGTTTGAGAAGCATTAAAAATGCTTCCCAAATGCCTGTCTGACAACGCTAGTGTGAACTAAGCCTTACTGAAAAGAGTATATTAGATGGTGGATTCACATATACTTTACTTTCCTAACATAGGTCCCAGAAAGGAAAGAAATAATGTGAATGACAGTTAATGGCAAATCCTCCTCTTCTTGACCATTCTTGTCCCTCCATGTAAGCAGCATTGTATTATAATAGAGGGCTATATATGTCATTTGTATACTTTATAAAGGGAAAAAACACATTACCAGAGGTCCTTGGGGCTGCACTCTTCGCAGTAATTCAAAGGCATTTGTAGCATTGTCCCCTGAAACACAAAATAAAAGATCTATTTTTTATTAAAGAGGTATTAAACCCAAAATCAAATATATATTATATTGCAGCGTATTAACGGTTGCATTAGTTTTCTTTTTTTTAGGTTTTCTTCTATTTTGATCTGGTGCTCTGACCAGCAAGTCTGTTTTTCAACAGAAAAGCTCTCTTGCAGTTACAGGGATGAGACAAACCCTTTACCACTGACATGGGTGCTTACAATGATCAGCTTTTATTTATGTATATAAAACCTTTTATCCCCCCAATAAAAATGTTGCTGTAACATTTCTATAAAGTATCAGCTTGAGTTTGGCGTCAGTTTGTTAGTGTGTTTAAATCTGCTACTACATCTAAGCCTTACCCTCCCCCTAGAATGACTATGCTGTTGTCCAAAGCTGCCCCCTGTGCTCCTTGATCCAGAGTGGGAGGCGGTCTAATACAGGAGGTGTGTTACTGGTCAGATCACCAGGTTAAAAAAAAAAAAGGAAAACTAATGCAGCCACCACATCTAATGATTGGTAAGCTGCAATGTATTACATATTTGGTTTGGGGTTTTAAGATTTAATCATTACATACGTGTTTTACTTATAATCCTTCCTTCTGCATTGCACACAAATCCATTACTAAATGAGTCATATCAGTCATGAGCTGGTTCAGTCACTTCCCCAATTACACTTCCATACTCCTGTCCCCATGACAGACTGGTTCACACAAATCCTCCTCAGAGCCATTTCTCCTCTATTATGTTTTAGGCTTCCTTCGTAGCATAGCATTTTGTAAACACTTACAAAAAAAATGTAAAAAATTCATTCATGTGGTGCCATTCATTGTTAATGGCACCAAATTGCGGCAAGCAAACATGCATTTTCCATGCAAGAAAACATCTGGCAAAACAAGCAAAGCTCAAAAAAAAAAAAAAAAAAAAGTACATTAGCTACTTTGTCGCGGTTGTCGCACATAGCCGTCCCATGGAAGCCAACTGGCCTACATGTTACAGGACTGTTTTTTCATGTAAGGGCTGTGAGTATCCACTGGGTGGCGATGTGGAGACTAATTTACTAGCAGGTAAGTGGCGCCACATCCAATGGATATTATAGGCACCACAGCCTAACAAGTAATGATCAGTGGCATCACTAGGGTTGGTGTTGGAGGTGGTGGTGGGTGGGGGGTTTGGAACGGAGCCAGCCCTCTGCATCAAATTGTGGGTGTAGCCAGATTGCACAACGGTGGGGCATTTTTACATACCAGGTGTTCAGAAGTGCAAAGTTGAGGTGTTCTAAATACAGAGTTGAAGAGTGTGCTATGTACAGCGTGCAAGATTGAAGATAACTCACATAAAAAAAAAAAAAAAAAAAGTGTCCAACTGCAGTTGAACAGCTTCCACAAGATGACATCCAGCCAGGTGCAGACTGACAACTCATGGGGCCCCCAGGCAATAGGGGATCATGGGGCCCCTGTGTCCTTGCCCAAACTCAAAAAAGCCTATGAAAAAGGTACCAGGGGCATCTCATGGGGCCCCCTACTGACCCTGGGCCCTCGGCTAGTGCCCGAGTTTCCAAATGGTCAGTCCGCCCCTGCATCCAGCGTTCTATAGTGACTCGCAAACTTCCAGTTTGTGCGACTTGACATCATCGGCCCACCCTACGCGTTACGTCACAACACGTGACTTCATCAGGAGATCCACTGCAGTGTCCTAGTTGGACACTTTTATGTGAGTGCACTCAATCTTTTTAATAAATACTGGTTGATATAAATGATACACTATGATGGGCGTTTTTTTCTGCATGTTCGGAGGATATGCTGGATACGAAATAGGAAGACCATTCTGGAGTAGAGTGTGGAGGAGAGTGGAGCAATAAAGGAATTATACCTACCCGGCATGATCCAATTTTTTAAAAAGGGAAAAGCGCTGATTGACCTAAATACCTGAGGGTCAAAATAAGGAGGTGAGAGTACATACGTGTGACGGTGGAGGAGAAACACAGAAGGGTGTATTTGCACATGGCAGGAAGGTGCAGAAATATTTACAAGAATTGAGCCACCTTATTTAGAAGAATATATATTATATTAGGACTTTTTCTGTTATATGGGATCTGTATGTTACAAATTGTTTATAGTATAGTTTAGTCTGGCTGAAAAAAGATAAAGTCCATCCAGTTCCACCATTAAAAAAATAAATAAAAAACATTAAAATCCTATGCCCACAGTTGATCCAGAGGAAGGTAAAAAAAACCCAGCAAAGCATGATCCAATTTGCTCCTGCTGGGAAAAAAAATTCCTTCCTGATCCCCCGAGAGGCAATCGGATATTCCCTGGATCATAATTGTGGCATATGAAAGAAACCACATAAGAACCATTTACTACTGTATTACATAAACAATTGATTTCATTATTAGATAGTTGCATTTCTGGGTAGTATTACAACGTACCTTGTAGTATTCTAATTACTGAATACTTTATCTATAAATGTTATATCCAGTTATATTCTGTGTATCCAAGAAAGAATCCAGGACTTTTTTAAAACAATCCACTGAGGTGGCCAGAACCAACTCTTGAGGGAGTCTACGTACGCACTGTGATGTTTATGTGCACTTCATAAGGAGTTCCACAGGTACTTTGTTTAGAAGATTGCACATATGGTATAAATTGTATTAGCCCCCCATTCACATCAAGCCCAACTTTGAAATCTCGTGACTTACAGTGAAGTCGCACAATTTGAAAGTCGGGGGACATGCCGATTTCAGGTGCGATTTGTAAGACATCTGATACAGATGTCTATGGGGGGGAAAAAAAAAAAAAAAAAAAAAATCACACCAAGTCGGAACTGCATCAATAGGACTGCTCTAATTGCAGACAATAGGTGCAACTTGGCATGCAATTTGCAAGTCACAGGGTATGAAAATGGTATGCCAAGTCACACCGATGTCAACAGGGTGTTAATTATATTGCGCGGCACTGATTCTAGAGTATTCACTGTCCAAAGCCTGCTGCCTCATTCTCTGCAGCGTCTCCAAAATACACCCCTTCCTAACCAATGACACCACAAAGCTTCTAATTCATTCCCTGGTCATCTCTCACCTCGACTACTGCAACTCCCTCCTCATTGACTTACCTTTACATAGGCTATCCCCCCTCCAGTCCATCATGAATGCTTCTGTCAGACTCATCCACCTTACCAACCATTCAGTATCTGCTACCCCTCTCTGCTGATCCCTCCACTGGCTTCCACTCACCAAACAAATTCAATTCAAAATTCTAACAACTTACAAACCACAACTCGGCCCCCAGCTAAATCCCTAACCTAGTTTCAAAATATCAACCAAATCGTTCTCTTCGTTCCTCCCAAGACCTCCTGCTCTCTAGCTACCTTGTCACCTCCTCCAGGACTTCCCCTGAACCTCTCCCATCTTTTGGAACTCACTGTCCCAATCTGTCCACTTTTAGGTGATCACTGAAAACCCTCCACTTTTCAGAGAGTCCTGTCCACCACAGTTATTACCTTTTGTAAGTTCTAACAAGCAAGGCCCTCTGATTCCTCCTGCATGGAACTGTACCATCTGTCCTCATGCTGTAAAGCGCTATACAAACTGTTGGTGCTTTATAAATCCTGTATAATAATAATGAATGGGTTCTATAGTCAAGATACCAACCAAATCGTTCTCTTCGTTCCTCCCAAAACCTCCTGCTCTCTACCTTGTCACCTCCTCCAGGACTTCCCCCAAGCCTCTCCCATCTTCTGGAACTCGCTGTTCCAATCCGTCCAACTATCAACTACTCTGTCCACTTTTAGGTGATTGCTGAAAACCCTCCTCTTTTCAGAGAGTCCTGTCCCCCACAGTTATTACCTTTTATAAGTTCTAACAGGCAAGGCCCTCGGATTCCTCCTGCATAAAATTGTATAGAATTTGTACCATCTGTCCTTATGCTGTAAAGCGCTGCGCAAACTGTTGGCGCTATATAAATCCTGTATAATAATAATGAATGAGTCCTATAGTCAAAATAGCAACCAAATTGTTCTTAGTTTTCTCCCAAGACCTCCTGCTCTCTAGCTACCTTGTCACCTCCTCCAGTGCTCGCCTCCAGGACTTCCCCCGAGCCTCTCCCATCCTCTGGAACTTGCTGTCCCAATCGGTCTGACTATCAGCTACTCTGTCCACTTTTAGGTGATCACTGAAAATCCTCCTCTTTTTAAAGAGTCCTGTCCCCCACAGTTATTACCCTTTGTAAGTTCTAACAAGCAAGGCCCTCTGATTCCTCCTGCATAGAATTGTATAGAATTTGTACCATCTGTCCTCATGCTGTAAAGCACTATGCAAACTGTTGGCGCTATATAAATCCTGTATAATAATAATGAATGGGTTCTATAGTCTTTTATGCCACGGTGCTCTCCCCGGCACCAGTCTCCCCTGTGACCCGTGAAGATGTGTCATGTTGCCTAGAGCCAACGGGTTTAATGGCTAAATGTGAATAGCAAAATTCAAATCGCCTGAAGCAAAAAACTACACCAAGAGCTACACCATGAATGATTAAAGGCAGAGTATATGAAGACGATGAAATGACAAAATGTAAGAGTAAGCAAACAATTATAGTTACATCCATTGGATGATGTCGCCTTAACCAGTTCAAGTCTGGGCCAATTTTTACATTTCTCACATACATGCAAAAATCTAACTTTTTCTGCTAGAAATGTACTTAGAACTCCCAGAACATTATATATTTTCTGAAAGTAGAGACCCTGGAGAATAAAATCGTTGTTGCAATTTTGTTATGTCACAATATTCAAGCAGCCCTTTATAAAACTCAAATTTTCAGCAGAAGTAGTACACTTAAATGCGCAATAGAATACCCAAGTTTTGGTAGTTTTTGGTCTTGTGATATGAATTGTCCCAGCAGCTGCCTGAGCTCAGCACTATTAAACATTGTGATGTCTGCTACTGACCTGGTCCAAAGTCCACAGTGGCAAGGAGCCCCTGCAAGGTCCCACACCTGAGCTCTATGTTGCTGTTGCCATCGGTTGTGAACAGAACAACATCATCGCCCAGGTAGAGTCGGAAGATGGTTAAAAGATGGCGCAGGTAGCTATAATCACATGCATGAAAGCTGCCATACTCGTTTTCCACCTGCAGGATCAGAAGACGACATAAAAGTCTGCATATTAAAAAAATATATCAGTGGTCTTATTCTACTATATTAGTTGGTGGAATAAGAGAATGTCAGTGAAACTAATGATTTGTTGTAGGTCACATAGTTAGTCCGGCTGAAGACAGACAAAAGTCCATCCAGTTCAACCATAAAAAAAAAAAAAAAAATAAAAAAAAAAAAAAAAAAAAAAAAAAAGGTATAATCCTACACCCACAATTGAGCCAGGGGAAGGCAAAAAATGCCCAGCAAAGCATGATCCAATTTGCTCCTGCTGGGAAAAAAATTCCTTCCTGATCCCCCGAGAGGCATTCGGATATTCCCTGGATCAACTTCACCTATAAATGTTATATCCAGTTATATTCTGTGTATCTAAGAAATAATCCAGGACTTTCCTACAGCAATCCACTGAGCTGGCCAGAACCAACTCTTGAGGAAGTCTATTCCACATTTTCACAGCTCTTACTGTGAAGAAACCTTTCCGTGTTTGGAGGTTACATTTCTTTTCCTCCAGACGTAAAGAGTGCCCCCTTGTCCTCTGTGATGACCTCAGGGTGAATAACTCTACTCCGAGTTCACTATATGAACCACTGATGTATTTATACATGGAGATCATATCCCCCCCTTATGTATTATACATGGAGATCATATCCCCCCTTATGTATTATACATGGAGATCATATCCCCCCTTATGTATTACACATGGAGATCATATCCCCCCTTATGTATTACACATGGAGATCATATCCCCCCTTATGTATTACACATGGAGATCATACCCCCCCCTTATGTATTACACATGGAGATCATACCCCCCCTTATGTATTATACATGGTGATCATATCCCCCCTTATGTATTATACATGGAGATCATACCCCCCTTATGTATTATACATGGTGATCATATCCCCCTTATGTATTATACATGGAGATCATATCCCCCTTATGTATTATACATGGAGATCATATCCCCCCTTATGTATTATACATGGAGATCATATCCCCCCTTATGTATTATACATGGAGATCATATCCCCCTTATGTATTATACATGGTGATCATATCCCCCTTATGTATTATACATGGTGATCATATCCCCCTTATGTATTATACATGGTGATCATATCCCCCCTTATGTATTATACATGGAGATCATATCCCCCCTTATATATTATACATGGAGATCATATCCCCCCCTTATATATTATACATGGAGATCATATCCCCCCTTATGTATTATACATGGAGATCATATCCCCCCTTATGTATTATACATGGTGATCATATCCCCCCTTATGTATTATACATGGAGATCATATCCCCCCTTATGTATTATACATGGTGATCATATCCCCCCTTAATCTCCTCTTCTCAAGAGAGAATAAATTCAGTTCCTCTAATCTTTCCTCATAGCTGATCTCCTCCATGCCTCATATCAGTTTGGTTGCCCTTCTCTGTACTTTCTCCAGTTCCCCAATGTTCTTTGTGTGAATTGGTGCCCAAAACTGAACTGCATATTCCAGATGAGGTCTTACTAATGATTTGTTGAGGGAGTCTATTCCACATTTTCACAGCTCTCACTGTGAAGAAACGTTTCCGTGTTTGGATCTTTTCCTCCAGGTAAAGTAGATGTAACCCCTAAATCGATAACATTCAGTTTGCCATTTTTTTTTCTGAAAAAAAAAATTTAACATTTTTCCAACCCTTGCTGCTGATCTCCAAACTTCCTTTCAGCCAGTTCCTGTCCACATGCACTCACTCTATGGTTGATTGCACATCATGTCTCCAGACCAGCTTCCTGATGGTGACAATAGTGGATCATGCTTGTGTAACGTGTGTCACGCAGCTACCTGAAGTTTCCACCAGGAGTGTAGGTGATGGAGAGACAACACAGGAGAACAGTATGGAGACAGTTTTCACCCCCATAACAGGAAGTACCTTAAGTTCAGTCATGGCAGGTTCATTATTTAACCAATTGGTGCCGAGTGTACGCAAATATGCGGCCCCACTGGACTGATTTTTTTTCCCGTGGGGCTGCAAATTTTCCTGTCTTCATGCTGGGAGTGTGATGCATGGTGCGTAATAGTGCAGACCTTTATTTATTGTTCCTTTTTTTTTTTTTCCAAAACCATAAAGAGGAAAGGATCGAGAACAAACAGCAATATACAAAGGGCTCAATTCATAAAGATTTTACACAAGGGTAAGGATCTTATTTTAACCATTTGACTGTTATTTTTTTTAAAGATTATTGGACTTAGCTGAAAATAACTGTCACTTTCTTTTAAAATGAATATCCATATCCTGGTAAGTTAGCTTTGGCAATAGACCCTAATGTCTGTTAGGGACAACATTCACGGGTTT